CACTTTAACGCTTTTCATAAACAGATTAATTTTATCTTTAAATCATTTGAAAACAGTGATTTAATACACTTTCTGGATTTACAATTTGACAACAGCGTAGGAAGCATGAGTATATATTGTAAAAATACACATACTGGTCAATATATTCTATTATGATAGCTTTGCACCGTGGAACCATAAGATTTCTTGGATTCGTAGTTTAGTTTCAAGAGCCCACAGACTCTGTACTCCCGATAAACTTCAAGCAGAACTTTGTAACATTAGAAAATGTATGTCATGGAATGGGTACCCTTCAAAAGTTGTTAACCATGTACTCAGAAATATAATGAACCTAAATGTATATTATAGGCCTACTGATGATAGCTTGATTAAGATCTGGGTTAGATGGCCTTTAGGAAAGGCAGGTGAATCTATTTTACGTAGATTCTTAAACAAAGTAAAGAAGCACTTAGTTAAAGAGGTAAAATTCATAACGTTAAGGCAGTACAAAAATGTCTCTCACTTTATATCTACTGAAGATCAAACCCCTAAGGGATATATATAGAAGCTCTGTAGTTTCAAATTTCCAGGTTGTAATAGTGATTTTATTGGAAGACAAATAGATGCTTGATAACTACGCTTAAAGAACATTCTTCACGATCTGATAGTGTTATAAATGATTATTGTGAGGCATTCCAATATGTTTTAGGTTTACAAAGTATACTTGAAAATGATAATGTAGCCTGTAATGTAAATAATAAATTAGGTTTAATATTTTCTAATACTAACATTATTGACAGTTCACAAAATTGGTCTATACTATTGTTTAAAGAAGCGTGCTATACGTAGGCTACACCCATTGCTTAACAATGGTGTGAACGCTTCAAAGGAGCTTTCTTTGTTTTTGTAGGTAATTTTGATCAGTAGGGTAGGATGCTTTAATCTTTAGTTTATTCATAACTATGTCACCTACTAGGGGTAATGTTTTGATTAGTCGAACACTTTTGGTACTTGTGCATATATGCTTGCAAATATAGATAATTTTTCATTCCTGGTGATGACATAATTAATGTCGAAATATTGAATCCCAAAACGATGGCGTATACTTGGAGTATATATTATATTATCTTATCTGAAATTAATTAGTGGACCTTTCGGTTTTTACTGA